GCCACCATGCTGGGAGGTGGTTTTGGGGAGTGGAGATGGTCCCTCACCTGAGGCTGAAGCTGGAGCGGGGAGGGGAAGGGATGGAGCTGGGAAGTTGTAGGGTGGGATCCATCAGGGGAAGAGGGGAGCCATCTGGAGGAAGGGTTTTTGGGAGACTCAGGGCTCATTTTCTCCCATCCTACCTATTTCTGCAACAATGGTTAAACTTAAAAAAATAGCCCTCAACACCTGCCACCCACAGAGGCCACAGTGAGAGAAGTCATTGTTTTTACCATGAACTCTGTGGAAAGGTGAGCTTGGAGAGCACAAAAATGCAGAGCTACAACTAAAGAAACGGGACAGGGCAGAGCATTAGCGCAGCTGGACCCAGCAGCAGCCCGTGCTGGAGAGAGCAGCTCCGGACCGTAAGGAGCGGTGTGAAAAGGATGCAGCTGAGTGCCCCCGGCTCCTGGAAGGACAAGGGACAAGTGAAGGACCGCATCCCCTCCAAATCCAGCGCCCCGGTGCGCAGGGGTGGGGGCAAGAGGCGGCAGGTCCGTGGCGCTGCATCTGTGGGCAGCTCTTGCCCCCTCCCAGCCCCAGCGCCCCTCGAGACCACCGGCAGGACGCTTCCAGCAGCACGCGTAGCAGCTGTGGCCCCTCGGCTGCGGGCAGGGGAGGAGAGCACTGTTCTAAGCAGATGAATATCGGCGCCCTCTCGACAGGAGGAAGTTGCAGACTTACTGAAATCTAAGATAAGTGGCCTCTTAAGCCAGCGGTGTGTCAAGTGGTTAAGGCAGAAGATTAGCGAGCAAGCTCTCCTTCCACTGCTGGGAAAGCAGGGATGCAGCCTGTGGTCCAAACACCAGCATCTCCCGAGGAGAGACAGGAGGAGGGACAAGGACAGCCTTAGCGTCCCCTTTGCACTGTCGAGAGGCACCGTGTGGGCACCTCTCCTCCAGGCTAAGGACCCTCAGGAGGATACCGACAACGGTTAGGTGTTTGCAGCACGTGCTGGTTTTACACAGCCCAGTGGAGTCTGATTGCTGGAAGAAAAAAAAAAAAAACCCCGTGGCTCATTCAGCACAAACTCATTATTTAATAGACAAAGTAAATATGAAAAAAAAAGGCATTTCACGCCCCCCCTCTGGTGCTGAAATTTACAGTTGTGAGAAGAGCCGGAGCGCTGCGGAGCCGGGGTATCTCCGGGTGACATTTACAGGGCTCAGCTTTCATCGCAGCTTGAAAAAATCCCGTGCGCAGAGATTATCTCCACACTGATCTGGATTGTCCTGTTCAGCTTTGGCCCTCATCCTAGATGGACAGTGAGGAGAAAACTTGGCCAGTGGCCTGAAGTCTGTGACCTCCTCTGCATGAGCTGGGAAGAGGAGGAACAGTCTCCAAGGTACTTGAGAACTTGCAGCCTTGGGGGGCTAAAGAGATGGAGCCCCTGGGGGGCAAAGCTTAGGTCCCCCCCTGAGGATTTAATGCTGCACCCTTGACCAACTGAGCCATTGAGTGAGGCAATCCCTGCTCTGGTGAGGACATCTCTGGTTTGCATGGAAGTGGATCAACCCACGGTGACTCCACCTCGGGGTCTCCCCGGGGTGTCAGCCCCCCTGCTACCTGGCACCCTTTGCTGAAGGTGTTTTGGAGCTGGGGCTGAGCAGGCAGAAGGGAGGCAGCCCGGGCATATTGGGGGGATGCCTCGATGCAAAACTCCCTCGCCCTGTGCTGCTTCAAGTCAGTTGTCAGCAGCCTTCCAGCCGGATGGTGTCTGGAGACCTTCCAGCGACCACAGACTCTCCCCCAGCCCATCACTGCCACAGCACAGACGGGATTTAACGTATGTCTGCGTGTTCCCCCAACCTTTCCCCTCTCAGGATGAAGCAAGGAAGAAAAACAAGACTGCAGGTTTGCAAGGACCCCCCTCCTCCAGCCCAGAGGGTGATGGTCACAGCTCCGGGCTATTCTGGACCACGCAGGGAGCTCCCAGCTTGCCCAGGAGGGCTCAGCAATGCCACCCCACGCCGACTCCTCGCTGCGCTGCGGGCCGATGTTCCTCTTGGCTCCAGGTGCCATTTTGAGGTTTTTCTCCGCTCCCCTTTTGCCTCTCAACTCACAGGCCAGTGGGTGAGGGAGAGAGGAACCGATTCGCTTTCCACCTCCCCTCGCAGTGCCCCTCTGCTTATTAGTTCTCCAAATATTTCGTCCTGCAGCCCGGCAGCGAGGACTCTGCTCTAACCCGATCGCAGGCGGAGGGGAAGCCGGAGCGGGTAGGACAGCGCGTTATCCTCATGGCATCGCTCCAGGCCAGCCTGCGGGGAGCGAGACGGGGCAGCTGAGGCCCTGCTGCACTAAATCCTGGTGGTCGGGGCACACATGACAGCATCCCTCCGGCTCAGCCCTCCTCTCACGCTTCCCGAGGGCACGACAGCGATAGCGGCAGAGCCCAAGCATTGCCTTTCGCCACAGCAGCATCTTTCCCCCACCCTCAACAATTGCTCCACTTCATACTTTTGCTTTTCTCAGCGGCCAACAGGAGGGGGACTGTCCCCAGAGCCCTCACCGGGTGTGGAGAACAGGCCCGTGGAGGAAGAAGAGGAGACCTGGTTGTGGGATGCTGGTGAGCAGGGTGGGGGCAATTACAAAACAGAGGAAAAGAAATCCCCCGGGATATCCTCCCTTCAGCTCCCAGCTCCATTAAGAGTCATTGGATTGCAGGTACCGTGGCCTCTCTGGACCGTCTTCACAGTCTCCAGTTGAACAAGGTGCTGGAGAAGTGCGGAGGGAAGGGGGCTTGCAAGGGGAAGGGGAACACGGTGGGAACATTGCGTCCTCTGACAGCCAAACTGAGGAGCTTCTGTAAATCAGCGGCCGCTGGAGCTGCTCCAAAATCCATCCAACACCCAGGAGGCCATCGAGCATCCCACAACAAGGGGATGCAGGCGTGTCCCACATCCCCCTCATACACTGATCCCCCTGGCTGGGCTCTCCCCGCGTTGAACTTAACTCCCGGGACGGTGCCACCCCGTCACCATCTGCCCATCCTCTGCAGTGCACCTGGCTGCGCACGCTGGCTGCGCTCCATCCCCTCCCGAGGCTCAGCCAAAGCAAGCAGTGCTCTGGGATGATCAGTGCGTGCCTTAAACAAATAAAAATAACTGTGACAGAAGATACCGAGTGCCTAACGCTAGCCTCAGCTTAAACACCTCCCGTTTGCAATACTCCAGAGTCAGCAGGACCTCACTGATGAGAGCAGGCACCACGCAGGTCCCCAGCCAGCCGCTGAGAGCAGACACATCCCTGCTGGCACAGGACACCAAGGGGCTCTGGCTTCAGCAATAAATAAAGCAATAACTAAAACAAAAGTAAAAAAGCCAACAATGATCAATTTTTTTAAACTTTAAATATTTTTTTTCTTTAAAATCTGTTTTCCTCTGGGGCTCTGTCTCTGTGAAGAGCTGCGCTCTCCCTGCAGCATCTGGGTTAGTTCCTCAGTCCTGGCTGTGGGGGCAAGGGAGAAGCAGGGTCAGTTAGAGAGGGGGACGGATGGGCGCTCCCCTCCGTGCATCACCGGCACGTATGGATTTCCACCACCCGATGGCAGGGTTTGCACTTGACGGAGCAGCACCAGTGGAATTTGCAGCTGCACCTTTCCACAACCTCCACTTCGTCCGTATGAAAGCCCCGACCGCAGCACATCAGCTCGCAGCCGTCAATAGCCTTGGAGGTCTTGTTGCACTGCCGGCCGCTGGTGCCCAGCACCCCGTTCTTGAGGTCGTGGTCACAGAAGTCGGGACTGGAGTCCAGGTAGACAAGGTCCTCGTCCGTGTGCGGCTTGAACTGGGAGTTTTTGGGCACCAGCACTTTGGTGGATCCGATCTCGCTCTGCTCGACCTCCGTGGCACCATCGAATTTCTCCTTCAGGACGTTGCCCACTTTGCGGAAGGGGGGCATGGCTTTCCAGCACGTCTTGAACTCGCATGAGCCGGACACGCCGTGACACTTGCACTCCACCCGCATGTTGTTCAGGATCGCCTGGAGGAACAGACACAAGAAACGAGAGGGGACGGTCAGCTTGGGATGGACACAGCAAGAAGGGTGCGACGTAGGGGGGTCTGGAAGGGTTGTGCAGCAAGTGGTGCTGATGTTCGTGAGCCGATGGGATTAAATGAAGCCAAAATGGCTCAAGCAATGGCTGCAGAGCCCAGCTGGGATGCTGCAGAGCTGCACCGGCTGCCAAGGTCTCCCCCCTCACCATTACCTTCCTCCCTGCCTCGTTGTTGTGGAGGTTCATTAACGCTCTGTTGGAAGAAGCCCCTTTGCTCCTCTCGCGGACGTCGACGAAGGACTGCGAGAAGGCCACGCCGTAGGCAATGTTATCGGAGCAGCCCGACCACTGGAAGCCTAAGGCAGAGAGCATGGATGAGACAGATAGAGCCAGCCTGCGTTCCTTGTCCTCTCCAGCCCTGCTTTTCCTAAAATACATCTGACCTAGCCCCCTTCTGTCTTGCTACCCACTAGGGTGGACTGCCTAGTGACTGGGGAAGCTGGGGAGTGTGGCTCTGGGGGAGACACGGACAAGATGCTTTCTCTGCCCCATGGGTGATGCTCCCAGATGCCTTTTTGAGGGACTCACGTGGACTAACAGGAGTTTGTGTTTGGTGGTTTTTTCTTTTTTTTTTTTTCAAAAACTTTTCCCTCCTTTCTGGATGGCTCCAGAGAGTGGGCATTTCCATGCTTGGCTATTTTGCATCCCCGCTCAGCTGCCCCCCTTTTGCATGCTCACCCTGCGGGCTGCCCCCCTGCACCGTGCGGTCACATCCACACTTGTCCAGCTCGCCGCTGCTGCAGGCTCGGGTCACTGCGAAGGCCACCCCTGCCGAAGAGATGGCATAGACGAATGCTGCCTCCCGTGTCCCTGCAACAGCACAAACGATGGTGGGAAACGTGGCCGCAAGTCCGAGGAACGCGAAAGGGCTTTCTGGAGGGGGTGCAGCCAGGTGGCCAAAGGCCCTCGGTGGGCTGTTGCACGTGTCTCTGCTCCTCTTCCCTCCTAGTGCTGGTGTTGCGCATAAACCCCCTTGAAAACCTGGTCTGAGGGCTGGCTCTCGGCAAAACTTGCTACGCAGAGCTATCAAGTCAAGCCCTCTGCTCCATCTCTTCCTCCCAAGACGGGGTACCCCATGCAGGGGACACATCCTCCCCGCTCCCAGGGATGCTGTTTGCTTAGTGCCAAGCCTGGACCAGTCTCAGCAGAAGCACCTCAGTGCTGGGAGATTGTTTGCAGTCTCGCAATAGTGAACGAGCTGGGAACTAACCCACAAGGTTAAAAACATGAATGCAACAGGCGGATTATAACCTGGCAATGAGGGAGATGCAAAGGCTGTATTGCCAATGTGGGGTGAGCTCTCCAGGGCTTATACAGAGAGACTGTCTTGCCTGGTGCTTGCAGGGCACCTCTGCCATGAAATCCCTCCTGCACCTAAAATAGTTGCCTGCTTTCCACAGCCAGGAGCATCCCCTGCAGCTGCAGATCCTTGCCATCCTCTCACACAGGGTCCTGTAGCTCCCAGCACCTCCCAAACTACCCTGCGAAACCCCACAGCACCTTGCAAAACCATGCTGGTCCCCAGGGTGCAGCCCCTTCCCAGCTCTTGCATCTACCTACGTGGTGCCACATGCTTAGGAAGAGCTTCTTAAGGAAGTCAGGGGACATCCCTGGGCATAAACACACAGGGCAGCGTGGCCAGGGACCAGCTCTTGCGACACCCAAATCCCCACCATCCTCTGAAGCTGGTTGAGGACACAGCCCTTCCATCTCCGAGCAAGGAGAGTTGGCGTTTGGGGTAGTCCCATGCTTGGGGTAGAGGAGGGGGGGATGGCTTGTGAGCAGACATCACCCCAGCTCGCTGGTCGGACAGAGGGCAGCTACTTTGGTGGTCGCAGCCCAGACTTTGGTGGCCCAGCTGTAATCTGGCCTGGGCGGCAGTGGCTGGGGAGGACCCAGCCAGCACGGGGACTGAACCGCCTCCAAGTTAATCGAGGTTAATAGTAGGATCGTGTTGGTCGGTTTGTGCTGTGGCTGCCTAAAAAGAGACGACTTTTAGTTTCTGGTATTTCTGGTATTTCCAGTCCCTGAACCTTCACAAGAAGAGATCTTCACCCCAGCGTTGAGGGGAGGAAAGTCAAACAAGGAGCCCGTTGGGGGGGCG